TTATTATTGATTAGCCAAATTTGTTTAAATGTGTCTTTTTTTTTAACTTAATCATTGTGAGGATAATGATAATTAGACACTTGAGCTTAGACACCAGTACCATCGTGAAGAACCTGACCAATTCACAAAAGATATGGTACTTAAGAAATATGTACCCAAAGTTTTTATTCCACTTTTATATATTTTTCAATATATAGGTAGTTTCAGCCTATGTCGAATATTAGTTACTTTAGCTGTGCTTCAGCTGCCCTTCTCCCTCAATCATTCAGGCAGATAATGCATCCTCCTCTGAAGAATGTATTTGTCATCTATATAATGGCTATGTCAACAGGGAGGCCAAACTTAAACAGGGATACTCTCTGAGGGACACTGAACATGATGCAAAGACTTGGCTACTTGTATGTGAGCCAAGTGATGATATTTTAGCCAACAAAAGCTGAGAGACTTGCCCTTTCATTCTGTCAAACACGGAAAACTATTTGTATGCCACTCAAGCTGCTAAAGAGAGCTCAGTGTGATGGCACCCAGTCCAGATTCATTTCACTCCAGATAAAGGCTCCTCACATCTTTTTCTGTTGAGAGAGATCTTCACTAGTTTTGTCATAGTTTCAACCACTGATTCACTGTGACTTCATTCAAGTAGTATATTTCCACCAAAAATGAGGCCATTGATACATTTGACCTTTCAACTTCTTTATCTTAAATACAGAGACTGAATTTATGAATCAGAAGGAGCTTGAACACATTCTGAAGTGTATATCACACCTCATGCAAGAGGTCCACTATGATGCACAGGGAACGGATCTAAGTGCAAGAAAGACAGACGAAAGGGGATGGATTCAAGTTACTGTCATCTTAATTGATAAACACACTGGTGAGGAAATGACTTATTGCTTAGCACATAAGAAGCACATATAGTTTGACAACAGTGAAAACTAAGGGTTTAGTTACATATGTTTGTGGTCTATATAAGTATACAATCAGTCATTTATTAATATGATTAACAATAAATGTTATATCAGGATTCAGTATGAGGTGCCAAGGTGGCGTAGTGATTTTGAAATGCAGCAATGAATTAGTTTCAAACAAACAAGATCTGTTTAAAAAATAGAATGTCTAAATGTGCAGAATTATTCACTTACTGTGTACCAGATACATGAAGTCGTTCTCAAATAAAATTGGCTCACTTTCTTAGATTCATAATTGAACGTGTTGATAGAATAATGATTTTAGATGAGAACATGCAGGTCATTGCAAAATGTCCATCATCTGAATAATCACTATTAAATGTTCATAATGAAAACTATACATGTTAAAATTAATAAAAGTTTGTAAACAAAAAAGAACCAAATCAAATTTAGTTTGAGAAACTGTGAGCGAAGATTCTGACTGTTGTTAACTGGCACCAGAACATATATGGCATTTAATGTGACATTTTATTTGAACACAAAAATGTATTAAATGATTAACTGCAAAACTCACAATAATTTGTTTCTGCAAATAAAGCTGCTGTTAAGAGATATTAGTAAGGGTTCATTTTCATAACAGGCTTCTGATTATCACTTACAAGTGTCCTGCTTGTCCATGAGGGAGGAGGACAGCACATGTCCTACACTCAGAGACTGTTCAACAGTAATGAAACTATGCACACAGTGGAAACATTGTGGAGCACAATGTAGAATCTAATGACACCAGTAACAACGCAGGAACACACTTCAAACTAGATTATGAATGAATCTATTGCCTCAGTGCATGCTGGGATGGTTCTCAACACACCTACCTCATGGAACCGCATCACACAATCAGCATTCAGCCAGATATGTATGCTGCTCGTGGTGTCAACCCAAGATAACTTCATCTCGGGATTACAAATCAATCCTCAAAATGCTTTCAAAGAATCAAGTTAGTGGATGAGAATGAAGATGATTAGTTTGTCCTGATCTCTGCTTGTTATAAACCACATTTTACCATCCATCAGGTGCCTGGACTACATTTTTTGACAGTGATTTATTGTCAGAGTGATATAGCAAGTAAAAGCAAAGTCATTGGAAACTGTCACATTTTAAATTGGATTTAAGTACTCACCAAAGTACTTTAAGAATTAGGAGCTGAAAGCAAATTCAGCTAAATTTTCTGTACCAGCATTTGGAGGGCCCCAAGTCTCATGCCATACTCTTATTGAATGATTTCTCTGGTGATTCTGTTGTGAGCCTTCTTGAAAGGGAGGTACAGGATAATTGGCTAACGTGGCTTTGTGTGAGTCTTTCATCATCTAAATGTGTCTAAAATAAAATGATTATTGATTACAGAAAGTTACCCCCAAGCCAACTGCCAACTGTAAAAAAGGTGTTTACATTGACCTAGTGAATAGCTACCATGTTGGGCTTACACCTCAAAAAAGGTCCAGCAAAATGTTTCATGATGACTCTCGATGTTGAATGATGATTTTATTTGACATATGTTTCATTGAATCTCTTTAACCTTTTGTATTAATGCTTGGTTTGAGAGTATAAATCTGGCGTCAGGCTATGCACTTGGGCATTAATAACAGGCAGGTTTCTGAGAAGGGCTAACGCTGTATTGGACTGCCACGTCTCCTTCATCCCAAGTGCTATTAAGATGCTTTATAGCATAAAGCATCTTGCACTTATCTTGCAGACTTGCACTTTTGTACATCTGTACTTGGTATGGATTTTCATTTCCCTGTTCTAGCTGTGTTTTATTGTGTTGATGTAGCGTCTTTTTGTACTCTGTTTTACGTGAACCCTGGCTGCAAAACAAATTTCCCCCTTGAATCTTGAAAACAATGTCCTAAGGAGAGTCTCTATGTTCCTGGAACAAATATTTTAGCTCCCAGAAGTTTGTTAATAGTTTTATCAGTGTTGAGGTTTTACCCTAACTGTTAACAAGTTGCTCAATTACCTTCACATATTCTTTAGATTGTTTTGCCAAGATAATGTGTCAAATCCATGAATATGTAGATGTCCTATAACATAAGCAGCCATTAACACACAACAAACGGTCAACAGAAAGCTAAGAATTCTCATGGCCTTCAAAGAGCACTCAGGATTTACCCAAAAGTTGCCCGTCACCCGAGTGCTGTGGTTTGACAATGTCAGTCTGTTTGTGCAAAGTGATGAAAAGTTCCAAAATTGTGTCTTTAGCCTCTATGTTTGCCAGGTTTTATGGATTAAGATGCTCTCCAGCTGATAAGACCAACTAAATCTAACTATCAGGCATATAGAGTGATGAAAAGAGTTCTGGATAATTGAGGTGCTGAGGCACTCTAGATGATTATCAGTCTCCAATGAAGCAATGTACTATCTCCAGTTTTTGGCCAAAGTTCTCCTAATTACAATTTATCTGGATTGAAAATAAGAAGTTGCCATTCCCTTGCTGTCAATGCACACTTTCCTGTGCTGCTCTCCGAGTGAATATCATAGCATTGAAGCCCAAATTGTGTTGAGCTGTGGCGAGTCACTCCTGTCCGGTTTGCATTGGCCGCTTCAACAAGACGTTTAAGCAGGAAGACCCCGCTGGAACACCTTTGAACAATGGATTGATATAAAGTCACAGTGACTGCCAGAGCTTTAAAGAACTGATGAAAACACCAAAGATAAAAACCAAAGATGCTCTTAATCAGCTGAGACAAACAAGGTAAGGGCTGATTACACCTGATGAACTGTGCTCTGATGATTTAAGAAAAAATACAAAAACCATTTAAAAAGTTAAAAAAAAGTTGATTTCAAATTGTCATTAACTGTAAAAGCTGATGATGTTCAACAGGACAGATTGTTGTTGTGTTGAAGCTGGTAAGAAATAATACTGGTGATAACAGACATGTGGAGAAGAAAAATCCATGTGGCTGGAATTTCAAATGGTCAGAGGAGAGTAAATGAACAAGTGCCTCTTTTTGTTTCCATTGGACCTAAAGCGAGAAGTTTGCTCAAAAAATGTCATTTCCATCTCATATTCCATATTCACAGGATCCCTGTGTGTCCTCTGTCTGGTTCACACTGCAGCAAGCCCGTCACATATACTGTCATCTATACGGAAGATGGGACAGCGAGGACCGGCTAATCCCTTGAAACTGCATGAACTTTGCTTTCTTTTTCTTTGCTCTCTTTATGTGGCTGGAGTCCTGTGTCCAGGAATCAAAGTTTGGGGATCAGGTAGGAGGCCGGCAGCAGCTCGCAGCCCCACCAAGCAGATTGCCTGCTGCTATGCTGACTGAGGACTACTGCACACAAAGCATGAAAAGTGTGGATTCCGGGGGCCAAGAGCCCGCATGGTGGGCTCTGCAATCCATGACCGGCCCGGGGAGAAAGGAATGGCTCAGTCAGCAGGCCAGGGCCACTGGAGCGATGAAAAGATAATTCTCCCCCCCACCGCCACAGGACCTCATGCGGCGTCAAACCATTTGTGAGCAGTGACACAGCCAGATTGGACCGAAAGGATATGAGTGGGAAACTTCAAAACCTGCTCATGTTTCTGCGAACGTGAAAGGATTTGTATAACACATTCAGATTTGATGAACTTTCCCATGTTCTCTCTGGACAGCCCTTTTTTGTTGACATGTTCAAATAATGAATCTCTTATGTGTAGATCCCTTTTTCCCCCCCTGCTACCAAGTCCTGTTTCTAGTTGTCGGGTAGGGATGCTGTGCGGACCATTCCATCGTCTGTCCCAAGCTTATGGAGAACCGCTGACTCGCTGGCTTCCAGGAAACAGGGTGAGTGATTCTACTTTTCCTAGAGCAGCGATCTGCCTTTTTACCTCAAGCTGTCGGCTGCAGGTTTTCAAAGATAATTCTATGTGACAGTCAAAACTGTTGCAAGATTTCTGAGGAAATCTTAGTATCTGACATTAACACACTCGGGGAAGACTGATGTAGGTATTCCTCAAGAATAATGTAATATATGAAGGATTTCACTTTCTATTTGACATATAGACTGTTTCTGAAACTAAGTGCACTTTCTTGCTCTGTTTCAGGTGCTGAAATGGAACATATATTTCTGATTCTTTTACTGTTTAGTAAGGCTTTATCAGTTGGAGCTCAATTCAATGGATACAACTGTGACGCCAACTTTCACAGCCGTTTCCCTGGTGAGGAACTCAACACTTTGTCTGTAACTGGACAGAATTTAGGCCCTACATGTGAATGTCTCTTTAAAGGAAATTTCTCCACAAACTAGCTACATATACCCAAAAGGAGATAATTCATTTTTAGAGTGATGGTTTTGAACTGTCATACCAGAAGTGCACTTCTTACCTAAAACATGATAAAAAAATCAAAAAATCATCATTTCAATTTTTTATCTAAATAAATAAATAACAAAATATCAAACCTAATATCTTGTGACTCATTTTAATGCCTGTATGCACCTGCCTCTGTTTGTGTGTCTTGCAGCGGAGAGGGATATAAGTGTGTACTGTGGGGTGCAGACCATCACCCTCAAGATCAACTTCTGCCCTGTCCTCTTTTCTGGCTACACAGACACTGACCTGGCCCTCAATGGACGCCATGGAGACTCCCACTGCCGTGGTTTCATCAATAACAACACTTTTCCCACTGTGGTAATCTTTAGTATCAGCCTGGCGACGCTGGAATCCTGTGGCAATTCCCTAGTGGTAAGAAAAGCAGGAATGGTTATAATGAATTGCTTGTTTAGCAGATTTGACATTATTACTGTCAGCATCACTGACGCTGTTAATGATGGAGTTGGATTTGGTGCTTCAACTGTTATGGGTCAGAAATATTATAATATGAATAGCTTTGAGAAAATATTATCAAAGCTAATGAAAATATAGTTTACTGTAAAGGCTGGGTTATGTACAGTTTAACTACTGAAAAGTGTCATAAAATGACTCATATTCTTAGATGACTTGACAGTTACTTTTAACATTTTATATGCTAAATTATACAGGCTAAACAATTACAAACTGAAGTGGAACATTTTAAAAACAGCAAAAAGCCTCCCCACCGTTTGTAGAAAAAGATCAGATGATGAGGATGTTGGGGATTAGTGAGGGGCCTTAGCATGCTCAGTAGTATGGCTGATGGTCCAGTCCGGTGTGCCCACAGTAAGATAATGGTGGTCGGTTAGAGCCAGAAGGAGGAGTGTCACTCACACTGGTTTTGTTCGCCTCAGGTCTCCACGGCTCAAGGGCCCAACGCTTATGGTAACCTGTCACTGGTGCAGATTGGAAACATATCAGGGTATATCGACACACCGGATCCCCCCACCATCATCAGCTACCTGCCAGGTCTGCTGTACAAGTTCAGCTGCAGTTACCCACTGGAATACCTAGTCAACAACACACAGCTGGCCTCGTAAGTCTCACCTCCACTTTTTCATTGGTTTGAAAGTGCTCTAGTAGGTTGCTACAGAGAGTCAGTAAGCCATCCATTGAAATAAGTTCAACCAATTAACAAATGGGAAAAGAAAAAGTCATGGAGGGACATATTGACTACTGAAATACAGGGGGTGGACAACTAAATTCAAATACAGTCTTTTTTTTTAGAATTTATGCTGTTCAGTTTTTGTTGACTCAGAGAGGTGTTAATAAATATGTTCATTTATGAGGATGTTGTTTGTAATAATGTAAATTTGAGTCATTATGCCAACGGGGTGAACAAAATAAAATAACCACCGGCAATACATAATTAATACCGTCCACACACTAGTACTGAATTTCTGTCTCTGAGTTTGTCTTCCATGATGCACACAATTTTTATTGGAAGTATAATGCATTCGGAGACAACACCACCAGAAAATGAAGCCTAAAAAATAACGTGGTGCTGGATCAACATGTCTCTGACAGAGTCGACAAAACTTGACCATTCTCAGCTTCAAAAGGGTTCTGGGGCTATTGTTTTATATCTCATCATATTTTTGGTGTATAAGTTGTGTCCACCTCTTGCTCACAGCGTAAACAGTGCTAACAAAGTGAACAGTGCTAACAGCGTAAACAATGCTCACAAAGTAAACAGTGCTAACAGCGTAAACAATGCTCACGAAGTAAACAGTGCTCACAGCGTAAACAGTGCTCACAGCGTAAACAGTGCTCACAAAGTAAACAGTGCTCACAAAGTAAACAGTGCTAACAAAGTAAACAGTGCTAACAGCGTAAACAGTGCTCACAAAGTAAACAGTGCTGACAAAGTAAACAGTGCTAACAGCGTAAACAATGCTGACAGAGCTAACAGTGTTTACCTGAGGGAGAATCGGAGGATAGGTGCTACTCATCATGATAACAGTGTTATCAGCTGTACCTGTCTATGAGAGCAGTGCAGAGCGGCGGCCGTTAGCAAACCAGTGGGGCACGCTCATATGCACTAACATCACAACACAAGATGCTGCAAGTTTGTTCTTCTTTATTAATATTGTGAATATTAGCAAGTAAAGCACCATCTATGCTTACAGAATTATATTCTAATTTAAAAAATGCACATACCAGTCAGGCAAATGTCACTTCAAATATTGGAATCACCTTTCAAAATGTTTTTGGGAACTTTGATCTTTTCTTTATCTTCATTGAAGGTCAGCAGCTGCAATCTCAGTGAAGGAAAGCAATGGTACTTTCATCAGCACGCTGAATCTACTGCTTTACAATGTAAGTTTACATCAGTTGAGTCGAAATATCTGTTATTTTGCTGCACAGCAGGGCAGCTTATAGGCTGCTGCACTGGAGACAAAGTCATATACCAAAGCTATAATAAGTCAGAAAGCATCAACGAGCATTCAAAGCTCTGCAGCTATGTTAAATGAATCTGCACCTTTTAAATCTGCAATTTCAGTATTTTCTGAGGATGATGATCTATGTAGGAGATGAGAGGGATACCAAAGGTTTAGAAACCCTTTCATGTTGCCCAAGTAGGCAGCAAATGACCTTTAATCCTGTAATTGGAGAAAATTATTCTCAATTTACCCTCAATTCATGTTACACCATATGCTAAATATAGTCAGTTTGAACCAAACACTAATAAAGGGATTGTGTGGATACCAGATAACAAATATGCAGGGATTCATGAAGTGTAGTGAAACTGAACAAATCATCCTCAACAGGATGAAGGGAAAGAGTCGGGTATTGTGACAAACTTGCTGAAATGCTATTATGGTTTATGTACAGGACTCGTCATACATTCAGCAGCTGTCCATCCCCATGGCAGGACTGACCCTGAAGACGCGAGTGTTTGCAGCCGTAAAAGCTTCTAACCTGGATAGGAGGTATTCAATCAACATCCAGCCATTCAATCTGAATAAGCCAATTTATACCAAAACAACATATTTTTAGAGGGAGAGTAGGTTACCATATCCATTTATGTTGTCCATTATTAAATAATGCCATTGGTACAAGCACAATGTAAGCAACCCTACCTATACTGACCATGGAGAGCAATACACAGTGCTGTAAAGTGACACCTTTGGCTGCAACACAATGTGAAGAAAAACACCACTGACCTATATTTAGGTGATATAGAAGCAGAGTAGGGATTTATGGCACAACTCCACCTTCCTCCAAGAAGTTTTGACCTCTTCTATATTTAAGTTATGCCAGATCACAGTAAAAGTAAAAAAACGTGTTCTTAATTTGTTTATTAGACTCATTATAAGGATGTCTCAGAAAAATAACAGCTTATAAATTGAATCAGCCTGCTTTATAAATACACATGAGACAGATGAAGCATTAGACTTTTAACTGTGTTATTTGTTCACCTGAGAATAATTTTTGTGTTTTACTGCTCCCATTGATGATACACACAGTGCAGGCATGCACCATGTCAAAGTCTTGACTCTGACCTTGTACCTCTCTTTGATCTTAGATGTTTTTCTATCTGATCTCATGAATTCTGACAGAGTCTCTTTAAGACTCACAAATTGTGACAGAGCATGAAAACCACATCGTACATCACACTGCTGGTCCTGTATCTTTGTAATTGTTGTTGGAAATACATTCTGCTGAGTACACCTGACCTCTCCAGAGAATTGACCAAATCCCCTGATGTTCTCTGACTAGATCAGATGTAAATAGATCTAAATTTGATCATTTTCATGGGACTTATCTACTCCTTCGTTTTGAACATGACATGATTTGAATATGTGAAGCCTTTGTATTGTGGTCATTCGATCTTGCCTGTGGGGCTAGTCGTAGGTGGGAGAGTTACTTGGCCTGAAGGGTGGGAGTAAACACAAGGATACTTCACAGATTTTAAGGGGAGATGGCTCATTGTTTATCACCTTATCCTGACTTCCTTTGTCACCAGAAATACATTAACTATGTCTATGGCATGCCAATTTCCAACCCTGTCTCCTACAAATATGTTAATGTACTATAAATTTGCAACAGCAAATCCATTATGAAAGTATTACGAATAATGTTCTCTATTAATACAATGACACAATGTTGTTAATTAATAATCCAAGAATATGCAAGTATTGCTCATTTAAAAAATTGTACTGCTGGAAACAAGAGCTACTTAAATGAAAAGTGCACTCAGAGTGTATGTACTCTAGAGGCTTCAATTTTCCACATTACACATGTGTAAATTGCACATTGGCCCACAAACATCACAAAAACCCTGGTGGTACTTACTACTTACATCATTTAAACTGGGAGTGGCGGGCCGTGTATTTTATACCTGGGCCTTCAGTGCTGTCCTACTACAGTTGAACCAACTCCTAATAACCACATTATAACGCCAGCATGACGGGATGCTTTGTCATTAACGGGCAATATAGTCTGATGCATATAGTCAAAATCAATGTAATTAACACAATGAAAAGAACAAACTCACAAGAACCAGTCACATATATTTATTAGAGCTGGGCAATAATTACAATTTTTAATCGCGATTAATCGCATGATTTTCTTGTGATTGATCGCATTGTTATGCGCAAAATTCAATAATGAATTCAAAAGTAGTGTATTGCGCACTTTTATTTTAAAAGTACTGCTATATGAACAAAAGGGCAATAACATTTGGTTTGCAAACACTTTAAACAAATAAGGTTATTTTTAACAGCAGTATTCCCTATACACAGTAGCAGTTATATCTCTTCACTATCTGTGCTCAGTGTGCTGACTTTATGTGAAACGTTCCACTGCTGTACAACATCAATAACATGTTCCGCGCACGTTTCAGCAAAATGTCTTGTCTTCTGTCTTCATGACAGTCAGAGCATGTGAATGCAGCTCTGTTCATCAATATAATGCTGTAACTCCGAGGTGATGATGGTTACCCAGCGATGTCCAGTAGTCTCCAGTGAGAGCAACAGCTGGTGCACGTTGTAACGCTGTCGCTTTAGTAGTCCTCTCCTTTTCATACAACTCGTGTATTCTTCTTGTGATGGTGCGTCTTGAGGCTCATACGTGCCGTCATTCGTTGCGATCCTAAGAACGTTCCTTAGACCGACATCTTCCACAATACTAACCGGCTGCAGTTTGTATCCACTTCTCTGTAGCATCTGTTAGCTTGTCTTGCTTTTGTTTATCTATACTTCTCCCACACGCTGCATAAACGCAGTCTGCCGAAGACTTCCTCCACCGCTGCCAGTGAGCAACGGACTTTCAAAATAATAATAAAAAAATAAAATGCGTTAACGCGCGATAAAATAGTTGTCAACGTTAATTACTTAATGCATTAACGCGATAATAACGTGTTAACTTGCCCAGCACTAATATATATATGACAACAAAGCAGGTAGAATAACATAAAACCCAAATAACACGATCAACAGGCCTCTGCACATTCCAGCAAGGGCACGGTCTATTTAAATATTATTCACATCGGAGGGAGCAATATTAACCATATCATAAAAACAACACGATAGAAAAATTAACACAGTAGTAAGGCTACTGCAGATGTAAAAATACAAAAGCTGCTGTTCACTATTTAAAGACAAAAGTCCATCCTCCTTTCTTTGAGTACAAAGAATGCCACGGTTGTACAGTACATCGGTGCGGTTCGGTTTCAGTAAGAAGTCCTTCTCGATTCAGTGATGACAGTCGAGCCTCCCCAGTTGTACTTCTTGAATACATTTTAATGCGTTTGAGGGCTGAAAATGTCCACTCGGCAGAGGCAGCAGATATTGGGATTGTCACCACCAAACATGCCAAAACGCTAAAACGTAAAAACGTCTTACATATCTTTAACCTTTAACTCTTACTACTACAAAGTTCTGCTAGCTAGTTTCACAACAGTCAAGCCGCACGTTAATGCTGACGTACTTGTAGGCTAGCTAGAAGATCTGGCACGTCAAAGAATACGCCCAACATGTCAAACTAAAAATCTGATTGGTTGAAGACTATGACAATCAACAATATCGTCCCCATTTACTTAAACTGCAAAGGGATTCACTTGTAATTCTGAAGGCCTCCGGCCTCCACTTAGAGACAGCATAGGGGCGAAATCTGATTGGATAAAAGCTCTACTTAAAACAAGTTGTGCTGGAAGCAGCGCAACTGAGGAAGACAGTAGCTATGCAATGAGATAATGAGCTAATGGGAAAAAATATTTACAATACATGTAGTGTATTTATCAAAAATAATTCAATTATAAAATAGCTATAACTTTGTGATTCTGTCTAGGCCAGCAGAGAAGGCTTGCTGGCCCTGACGGCCAACCACTGGGATTTAAGATGATCTTTGCTCCTTCAGCAGATAGATGTGAAAACAGCCTTTTAATGTCAAAATCCAAGTGAAGGAACAATAAGTAAAACATTTTTGAGTGGATGAGGACTTTTATTGAAAAAATCAAAAGTAACTTGATGACCTGTTTTGTACTTTATTCAACGTTATTAAAAGTTATTCCTCATATTTTGTGGGGTTTCCTGCAAAAGCCAGCAACCTTTCAATTTCCGTCTTTACAGGAAACAATTTAGTTTAGGAAAAAAAACTACTTAGTAAGGTTTAAGTAAAGATCATCAAATACTTAGTTAGGTTTAGGAAACAAAGCAACTTAGTCAGGATTAAGAAAAGATCGTGAAATACTTTCTTAGGTTTAGGCAACAAAACCATTTAATTATGTTTAGAAAAAGAATGTCGTTTGGCTTAAAATAACCACGAAAGTGCCGGAACTACATTTTGAGAGTTACGTGACAAATCCCTGGCTAAAGGTTGTTGGTTATCGGACCCATACACTTCTCTTCCCGTGAGTGCTTTAGTGGTCTTTATACTTTGTCATTCATGATAACCTGGATAACATATGAAATAATTTCGTGGGATATCTACGAATTACAGTGCATTATCGTCCGTAGGTACAGCTACGAATGCTGGTTGAGACCAGCCTGCATAATTAACATTTATGCAAAACCACCATCTTTCTTAACCCTAACAAACATGATTCAAGCAGGAAAGGAGTCTCTGTTGTCAAAGTTTGTGCGACCACCATACATACTGACCATCTCGTATGGCTTTGGAAGCGACCTAGTAGAATTTTGGGAGCAGGTCCACACCTCTACCACGCCTCTTCCTGCATTCCCATAAATACCCACCGAAACCCACTTCTCCCGTTCCGCTCTTGAATTCCACATCAGAACAAAGACGGGCTCTTGGTTCTGGTGGAATGCATTGAAACATTTAGTAGGTAAGTAACCTTCCAACAATCTCATTTAATCTACTTACCTTGTTTCCACTATGGATACCATCTTGCTATCCCTTTCCGACGACGATCTTTTTGGACCAGAACGACCAAGTCCAAAGTCTCCTGTGCACGACAGCAAACAAGATCCGAAAACACGTCCACCACCTTTGTGATCCAGACACCTCTTTACGCCATCTAAAACTCACCGGGGAAGTAAGCGAGTCCAGCAAGCCCTTACAAAGTGTCTTGCATGGTCCATATCCCGCCCGGTTCATCCCTCCTCAACTTTCAAAACAAATACAGTTCCCAGTACACCCCCCTCATCAATGAAGAAAGGACAAGTCCATTCAAAGACATTAAAGTGCCGCTTGCAGTTCCCCGACTTCATCACCACTGAGAAAGATGCCAGTTTCCCACCATCAAACCAACTATTACGGCCTCACAATATGCAGCCATCACCACTCTCCAGCGAAGTCCCCTGACAACCAGCCTTCTTTAATCTTTGATTGGACCATAGCCACTCTTCAAAAAACATTAAAAGAAAATGGAATTCATTGTCACAGATTGGACAACAAAGCAAAACTTTTCAATACGCACATGTCTGCCTGCCGTGCTTACCGCTCAGTAAACACCAGTCCTCTTCTGGATGACTTCATCGCGCACATGCCACCAACATGCCACAACATCAGCACTCCAGTTAAAGAGAAAGTTCACCCATATCCCGATCACAAAAGCGGCAGAAACAGCAGCAGCAAAAGCAAAGACCACCTTCAGCCAACCAAAAAAAGGGCTTCAGCAACATCCAATTCTTATTTAAGCCATTTACCGGTGCTTCAGACATTGGAATTTTGAGGATCCCATCTTCCCATCAGTATACATCATCCAGGTTTTCCGACACCGGGACATCAGCCTACCTTGCCACCAGCACCAGCTACCTCTCCAGTCAGCCTGGGCAGGGGAACCTGGCAACAGTGCCCCCCTCTTCCAGCTACCTCAACAGCTTGGTGTAACCCCTGACATCGGGATGCCAGAATTTTCCGCCTCACAGTTCTACCAGTTCTTGCTATCTATGCAACCTGGAGCTACAGGCACTGGGATGCAGTACCCAGCTCTCATCCACAGCCCTTAATGCAGCAAGCTGCCCTCCCATTCATTCCCCTTCCTCCCTCCCAACTCCTTCCACCTCAGCGGACAGCCACGAACTTCACCCTAGCTACAGCTAACCCTCCCATTTGCCATACCAAGTCTTTCATTTGTTGTCCTTCTCCAGTCCCCACCAACCTATGTAAACAGATCATTGATGGTAATTACTTAGACCTTGCCGTCCTCATTATGCCTTCCCTTCACCAACTGCCTGTCAACAGATTTCCAGAAGGCCACAATCACTATCATCACCCGAAAGAGAAAACACCCACCAGCTCCAAAGAACTCACACCCACAGATATCGCTTACACTTTCTCTTTTCAGAGATTCTGTTCTCAATTCAAGAATTGGACAACTATTTGGTAATGGTTTTTATCAATACCATATCCACCTTGCCTCGAAAGCTGCTGCCTGTCTGCAACAGTTCAACAAGGACACATACTGGGGCATGCTCGACAACGCATTTTCCTGCCGCATCTTCGCTGCCCGAGCAGCCATTTCATGCTCCTTATGCGGTGCCCCGTCTCACCCAGACAGTTTTCATTCCCGCCCATGCTAAGCCACAGCTAGCCCATAAAAGAGCTTCAACTTTCTCTCGCCTATTGCCCTTGGCTCCTCCAGCACCCACACCTCTGAAGCCTATATCGTCAGCCATATAGTATAGGTAAAAAGGGGTAGGCCCATATTTAATCGAGGATGTCGTGCCTTCTGCAATAACTTACCATAGCAATAACAACACCAGTTGCAACAAGTCCCAGTGCCACTTCCTCCACATCTGCTCTTTCTGTGGAGGAGGCCACATCCGCCCAGTGTGTCCTCACAACCCCACTTCGACTAACCTATGTAATCACCTTTCGATACCCATTAACATTCCAGCCCTAGCAGCAGCACTTCAAAACCACTCTGATCTGGCTTTCGTTCAGTTCCTAATCAAGGGGTTTGAAAAAGATTTCCACCCTGGAATCTTCACACAACCATCCATCCCTTTCCAATGCAAAAATCTTCAGTCAGCTTTAAACAAACCTGAGTCCGTCGACCAGCTACTTGCTAAGGAAGTGAAAGAAGGCTTTTTGATTGGCCCATTCGCTCAACCTCCATTTCCTAACTATGGTATCAGCCTCATCTGTATCGCAACCAGGAAATACTCTGTAAAGAAACTTATCATTATTGATCTCTCTGCATCCCAGATCTCACGGCAGTACCCAGCATAGACAGATTGCTTCCGAGCAAAGACTTCACCCTTCACTACGCCACCATTAATAATGCTATCGCCCTCATCAGAACTCCCCGGAAAGGGGTCTTCACCTGTGCTTTCAAAGTTCTCCCAATCCACCCTGACTTCTGGTGTTTCTTTGGAGTCCAGTGGCGTGGGGGGAAATATTACTTCACTCTTAGGCTCACCTTCTGCTGCAAAAGCAGTCCTAAACTCTCCGACACCCTGTCAGAAGCCCTCTGCTGGATCCTGTCTAATAACCATAAAATTCCATTCCTTGTCCATCCTTTGGATGATTTTCTCATCATCTGCCCTCCCTCATCACCACACCCTATGGTTTGGTCAACCTGACTTCATTTTTTTCTGAACTTGGAGTTCCACTGTTGACAGAGGGCCCATCCACATCCCTTGATTTTTATCGGAATCCCTCTTGACACAAAGTCTTTTCACTCCATCATCGATAGCCTATCACTCTCAACCCTCTCATCTTACTGGACAGCTTGGAAGTGCTTCCACTAATTCCATGACGAGTACAATATGACCTTTCCGTCATTTGATCTGGTCCCCGTGACCTCTTTTGTTACATTTTTGCTCATTCCGTTGCTTCCTGTCTTCCTGCATCCTCACTATCTGTCACGGTTTAGGCTTTGCCCCCTGTGTTCCTGTGTCTCTGTGTCTGTGTGGCTCCGCCCCTGGTCTCCTCCCAGCTCCCTCCTGTGTCTCTGGGTACATCTCAAGTCTCTTAATTGTCATTTCCTCGATCCTCGCTTGAACCGGAAGTTGTTCTGCGCCGCCATATTGACGGCCGTCCCAAAGCTCTTATTTCTGCTCTGAGGATGGAGGAGGGAGGAGGGACCTCTGAGGAGCCATGAGCGAGGACCCACGAGAACAGACTTCCAGGAAGTGTTTTAACGGCCGACACGCCCCCTCATTGTTCATCAGTCATGTGATTGGACGCTGCAGCCGATCAGATTGATGAGATTTTTTTCAACGTGTAAACAGTGAAGACGGATCACAGAATAAACGCAAGCTTCATATTTGATTCGTTTTCTGAATCAACATCTGGTTTAAATAAATGTTCATTGTAGTCTGAACAACAAAAGGACCACAAACAACTTTCTTCATTTATTAGAAAGATTTGTGTTTTCATAATCTGATATTTCCCTCAATAACTTTTATTATGGATACAATTAAAGTCAGAGAGAGCTGGAGAGACTAAACCCTTTGTGTGTGTGTGTATATATATATATATATATATATATACAGAGAGAGAGAGAGAGAGCTGAGAGACGAAACACTTTTTACATCATTTATCATAATTTCATTCAGTCACGTGAGGCTGATCATTCCTGATTGTCAGGTTTGATGAGTTTTATCATTTAAGAGAAACAATAATCATATTCTGGGTTATTTAATATCGACGTCACAATCTAAATTTCAATTTATTTTTAATTCATAAATAAGACGATCGCATTCCGCCGGTAGAAATGGATCCTGTGCTTATAAACAGAACACAGGACACAGTTTAACAGACTACAGAGAGAAACACCTCTACAGTGGTGATTACTGTGTCTTTATTAGTTATTAGTATTATTAGTTACTATTATTAAGTACAGTGATCATGTGAACAGACAACAAACACAAACTTCTCAAAAGTCTCTCCAGCTGTTAAAGCCGACTGACAGCTGATCCAGCTGTGATCATCAGCACTGTCATCAGAAACAGACGTCGCTTCACGTGACGCAACTGAGGAAAAGATGTCTCATGTCTGTTAAAACATATTTCCTCGTTTCCTCTCTCCTCGCATGTTTTCCTCCATGCATCCCTGGTGGGAGGGACTAAGATGCTAGGAAAGGTCCCAAGTGAGGGAAACGGGGATGCAATTAAGAGACTTGGGATGTGTCCCCTGTGTCTGAGTGTCTCCTGATTGCTTTCATTCACTTCACCTGTGCTCAATCACCTGCCCCTAGCTTTTTCCTCTGCCAACCCCACACTGCACTCATTCAACTCAACTGCCTGCAATCTACTCATCACCCCACACACATATACTCCCCTGCTTTCCCTGTTCTGGTTGTCAGATCGCTTGTGTTCTTCCCTGTGTTTGCTCCATGTTCCGGCATTTTGCGCTCGTGTTTGTTTCTATGATTTGTGACTTTGCCTCACTACAGTTTTTGGATTTTTGGCTCGCTCCCTGTTGGAATTGTTTTGTGGTCCGGTGGATGACTGCTTGGTGCCTAATAAAGAACCTTGCTTTCCACCTCATCTCGTCTCCAGTGCCTGTCTCTGCGCGTCTCTGCTCTGTTCCAGAAGCGTGACACTATCTGCTCCAGATACAGCAATCCTCACCTTGCTCTCACCTTAGAAGCCATGTTCTCACTAGGTTTTGTCAGATGTTCTAAGTTCACTGCCTCAACCCTCCACCTTGACCCACGCCGCCACACCTGCATATCGTCTTAGTTCTCAGAAGGCACCATGACATTCTACTTAAAGCGAACCAAAACCAATCAATCCAGCCAATTTACACCCATCTTTTACTTAAAAATACAGTCATCGCTGAGTCCATTAGAGCCAACTACTTGCAGTTTCGGAAATCCAAGACTTAATACCAACAGATTGTCTCTTCCATCTCAATATCCGGTCAAGTAGGTACTAGATTCTTGTCATGGTCTCTCCTCGTCTGGCATATTTCCCGCCTTTTACTCTTGACACTGTTTTAGGATTGGAGCCGCTACTTCGGCCTCCCGTAATGGTGTCCCAGAACACCTTTTTCAAATCATGGACCGCTGGTCCTCTTAAGCATACCATCGCTACATCCGATTAGATCTCAAAGATTTCAGACTTATTTCAATCTTGTCTCACGTCATTGGGGTTTTTGGGATTCGTCATGCCCGGGCGACACGGCAGATTACTCGACGAAGCTCTTTTCAACTCATTCGACCGACCAGACAAACTACATGTTGAAGCCCTTCATTTATTTTTTTACTAATAAATTGTTAAACGCATACTATATATACATGTAATGCTTCCTACTAAAAAAAAGGAATTCAAGGCAGCAATTACTTTTCTATGCAATACATAATTGGGAAAAACAAATATATAGTATATGGATATCATTTCTAGTAGACAGGGTTGTAATAGACAGTTCTATCTGTTGAAACAATACAAAGATCATCAGCAGGCGAGGTGAGCATTGTGCCATCAAAGTGTCTGAGTAACCTTTACCTCTACATAATCTCAATTGCATTAAAATCCATCAACTCTGCATTTACTAATCTTTAATGTTAAATAGATGGAACGTTCTAATGGACTACTGCTACACCACACCCTCTGGAAACCCCAACGATGACCTCCGCTATGATCTTTTCTTTAGGTAACAGATCTATGGTTTTGTTCAGTTCTTATATTTCTGTTTCTCTCCTTTCTAATAATCTTTTTCTGATTTTCCCTCCCTGAACCAGCTGTGAAAAAGACCCCCAGACCGCCGTCTTTGAAAATGGAAAGAGCCAAATGGGCCGCTTTGCCTTTGAAGTATTCCGCTTTGTAAAGCACAAGAATCAGAAGATGTCCACGGTCTTCCTACACTGTGTCACCAAACTGTGTCGAGCAGATGACTGCCCAATGCTCATGCCAGTGAGACCAACAAAGGACACTTTCACACAAAGCATGACATACTATTAGGATAAAATATAACAGACATATTTTGTCAGTATCTCTCTTACACCCATCTACAGCTCCATCTTATGGAGGAAGCATGTGACAACCAGACTCTGAATTTCACAGCTGTCAAACATTCACTTATACACGTCAATCATCTGTGGTGGAAAGTAACTAACTACATTTACTCAGTTACTTTTGAAGCACAATTTTGAGGTATTTGTAATTGACTTGAGTTTTTCCATTTACTGTTACACGCCACTACATTTCAGGGAAATATTGTACTTTTTACTCCGCTACACTTTTTTGACAATTAGAATTACTAATTATGTTGCAGCTTAAGATTTTACAAACAAAACATATTCTTTAAATATTTTAGTTTATGAATTAACCTACCAACATTGTGAACATCAGCTCCAACTCAACCATCTATATTAAATTATTTTTTACATCAGTAGCTTAATAATCACATATTAAAGGATAGAAATATAACACTGGCTGATTCTGGATGAGTAATTTGGCATTTGAGATTTTAATTACATTTTGCTCTAATACTTTTATAATTGAATAATTTGAATGCAGGACTTTTAATGGAGTCTTTCTACATTGTTGTAATGCTACTTTTGGTTAAGTAAAGGATTTGAGTACTTGTTCCACCACTGATAACCAGACAAAGGCAATTACCAGGCCGCCCATGAGTTTCTAGTCGCAACAAAATCTGAATTTCAAGTAATCATTCAAGTAATGATTACATGTTTCATATCGCCAGGACCTATATGTTATCTTGAGGTGTTTACTGACTTTCTGGATATTTATTTACAGTCAGATATCCTTTATTTACTTTATTTCCTTGGCTCATATAGAAAAATGTATCTTCCTCAATGTATCAAGTAAAACTTGTAATCTTTTCTGCCAATTCAGAAAAATGTCTGATATATTTGTCAGATGTTATTATTATATTCCTCTCGTCTCACATTTCAAAACAATGCTTTATCAAGACCTAATTGACAGCAGCTGGGGGTTAATTGTAATTTTCTGGTAAAACCAGAGCAGCTGCATGATATATTGTAACAGGATCTATCCTTCAGTCAGCATATATTGCCTCATCCTTCTTTAATTATAGAAGTTGATGAGAAAAAATCATGAGTAAGTGCAACACCTTCTACCACTATATCTCTCTCCTGGACATTTTTTACAGATCTGTGGCAGCAGGAAAAAGAGAGATGTCATGGAGGGAAAGGAATCAAATGCTGCATCTGGGAATGCCGTCCTGACTGCTGGGCCAATCATCACTCGGAGTGGTACAGTTTCTGATATTCCTTTCTCTGTGTCTTTTTCCTGCCAACCACCTTTATCTTTCTGACATAATCCAAACTGCACTGTTACTGCCTTTTCTTCCTAACTTATACCCAATACATGAAGCCAGGCTCAGACTACAGGAGTTCTGGACCTATTTATCCACGATTTCCCCCTGTCGACAATCGGAGGAAAAATACGATCCAGGACCTTGGTTGGTACCAGATTGTTTGGTAATGTGAGCATTTTACAAATCCAGTCTTAAACCTCCCGAAATGTTCGCAGCCTTTTCGGAGCAGTCCCTTTAATATCCAGAATCAGCTGACGTGTTATTATGAATCCCGCTGCTCTTCCTGGCAAGACCAGCCCTCTGCAGCATTCAAACGCTAGGATTGGCCGGGCGTCCATGCCCACCAAAACTGGTAACCTTATGTGTTTGGGTCCTATGCCGTGACCAATTGGCTATCCTTACCTGAATTATGTCCACTGTTTGCATACCATGATATTTCCCTGAAAATAGTATGCAGTTTGCCTTCTCTTGGTTTTGGACATACTAAAAAGTTCTCCCATACGTTTTTTGCGTACTAAATAGCATGTTAGTATGGAATTTTGGAGACAACCTCAGTGTCTGTTTTGTTTACATCTACTTCCCCGAGAGATCAAGGGAGGTGGCAAGTTGCTTCGTCTGGCATGATAATCTCAATAATAGCTTGTAGTGTGTGATATGCCATTATTTTAGATTAGAGAAAGGATCTGTGATGCAACCCGATTTCAAAATCTTTTTGGATTTTAAAACTTCTGTAGTCTGAGCCTGGTTTGAGCTTTTTTAATTTCTTTCAAACTCCACAAGTCTTCTCTTTCTGTGATTTCTAACAGTTCCATGTATTATTTATGTCTGAATTGATTTTCAGAATGGATATATTAAGAATGTATCAAGCCTCAGGTGGTTGATTGATGGTGATAACTCATCTCGGCGACCTAGATGGTTAGAGAGTGCTGGAAGGCATCCTGTTGACTCATGTACTGTACAAGAAATGAACACACAATTACTGTGTTGCTGTTACCCTTAAATGGCCTTTACTTTTTTTTCACAGATGAGACGCCAACCAACAACTCTCAGTTGGGTAAGCCCTCACATTCTGTGCATTGTGTTGCATTATACTTTTAAAGGGGTGTTGCCTTTCACTGATATGAAGTGAGCCATTTAGAATAATAAAAGCCTCCAAAAAAGGAAAAGGTCTCACATACTCTTCTGTACGATTATATCGTATCATCCTGTCATGTTTGATGCATGTTGTGAGTTACATTAAATCTCCCCCTGCCTTTACTAATTGCACTTAAATGAGTTATATTGCTACATAACACCAGAAAGAGCCATTGATTGTAACTAAGTGTAGTACGAGCAAAGAGAGTATACTTTTTTAGTTGAGAAAAAGCATCCAAACATTTATTGTCGCTTATAGTTATATTCTGGTCTACTTGATTCTAATGTCAGTGATGAAATTGGTATATCTGCTGTTAAGATGGATTTTTCTTTCCCCTGATTATTGAATGTTGATGCCCGTTTGATTTCTGGTGTTTTGGATGGCTGAATCATTTTCTGCTATCAAACACCACTGTAGTTGAGCTGGAAATATCTCAGCGTGTATGTGGGATTTGGCAATTAAGTTGTCATAGAGCAAGTGTTGAAAGGTGGATGAAATAAGAACTGATTTGATTGCCTCTTTGTTGTTTTGCTGCTCTAGCCCATCTGAAAGCTCCAGTGTTTCAGATGAACACAGTGACAAGCGCGCTCATCTCCGGTGTGATCATCCTGGGCGTCATGAGTGTTTGCTTCTTCATCTTCTCCCTCACTCTCGTCAAAGGCAAAAGTGCTCCTGTCAGCACTGTGTCTGGAGTCCGAAACCCAGTCTTTAAATGAGCACCTAACACAACTCCCTGCAGACTTTCCTCCACAACCGACAGTGCTCAGCGAGTGGCAAACAACATGATGTAACATGATGTTGGTGCATGTTGTCATCTTTACAGGAGAATGCAAGTTAAATGTTGATGTAGGTCTGTGCAGTGTGCATTAGTGTAGAAGTAAATCAGGACTTTTTTATATGTTGTTCTATACTTTGTGTTTCAACCATGTGGCAGGCTAGGCCTCAACCTGCCTGTAATTATTTGTCATGCAGTTTTGACCCACATTAATTAATATCGCAGCTATACAACTTTCAATTGCAGGGTATAGATTCAATTAAAAGGGCTTACAGTACATTATAGTAGTGCATGATCTGTTGGTAAAACGTACACTTCCTGCTTAGAGACTTAAATATGAAAACACTTCATTTGGATAAATATAACTTGAGAGAATGAGGGAATTCTAATGTATGAAAATAAAACCTTCAATTAAGTGATTCAGTGAACTAACAGCCTCAGACTTGGAGCTTAACGTTTTCTCAACATAAAATCTAACTTTTAAAAAGGTATTTATATAATAATTGGAATAAATCTTTAATTTATTAATAATGCTACATATTTGAGTGCTAGTCTTTTGATTAATCATTTGAGAGATCTGTTCTACCTAAATATGTATCTCACTCTTTAAATAGTTTATGCAATGTGGCAGAAATGAAAGTTTCATTTGTACATGTACCCAATGTAATTGTGTATAACTTTCCAAAATTCAAAAAATGCCATTGATGATCTATTCCTGAAATGTACAAATTGTGTACAATTGTGCATATTGCAAATATTGCGCTATGACTTGTGATTAAAACGTGCCTGGTGTCATATTTCTAAACATACAGTATGAATTTCCTAATAAACTCGCCCGGAGAATTTTAGTCAAAGACAATAGAGAGGAAGAAAATGAGGTCAGGGGTATATTAATAAAAACTAGAAAAGTGCAGATCTCCACCTCTGCAATAGTGTGTGCAGCATTGTTAGATGTAAGCCGAGGCGATGCACTCAGCTGTCTGCCTACTGGTAGTTATGTTCTATTTCCATCTTATATTTATAAGGAGATTAACTGTCAATAGAAAAAGATTCATTCCATTTTTACCTGAAAAGCATGCACATGAGGGGAAAGTGCTTTAATCAGCCCCAAGTAAGGCCCCATATCCTCAGCAATAGGACAACCTATAGGTTGCTTGAGGGATGAGAAAAACAATTTCACAAATTACTCACTGCTTTAAGAGACTTAATCAAACTGAAACTATGAAAAATGGTGCTAGTCCCCCCCTTAGTGGAAATTAAGCCCTTGAGTGACTTACAAATGACACACACATGACCAAAGAACACATTTATTACCAGAGCTGGTAAACCAAAATATGTTGATTGCCATTTTCCCCACTGGGGAACTTAATTTTTTAGCAAACACTTCAAAATCATAAAGAACATTAAGAATGAGTCCTAAAACACAATCAGGTTAACAAACATACAAACAGATTAAGTCCTAAAAAACATGCAGTTTAAGGGACATACAGTTTCAGTAGGCGTATATAGCCAGAACTTTATTGTATTGTAACTCTAGATTCTATGAGTATATGTATGTGTACGCTCTTAGGTTTATCCCCGCGAGCAAACAGTCTTAGTCTTTAAGGTTTTATTTGCGCCATTGTGCCCTGCACAGGCGGCAACCTCTGGTCAGAGTAAAGCCAATATGGAAGTCTCTTAACCTCTAAATAATTACCATCAGAATGGTCACAGATACTGTCGATTTCCCCATATTACAACAGATCTGTACAATAAACATCTGAAAAAAAGTAATTGAGGAAATATAAGCAGATATCTTCCACTTCCACCTGGGTGTTGTTGATGAGATACTCCAAAGGATAAGCAAAGGAATGGTAATATTTGAGCTCAGCGTTATGTCACTACCCCTTTGGTTGGATCATTGGAGTGCACCACATCACTGACATTAACCATCTGGTTGTTGGAGAAGTCCGCAAAGATTCCTGTGCCAGCTGCACTGGTGGTCTGAAGGCAATATAGTCAAGCACAGAGAAAAGGGAGGATGCTTTGAGTAAACATGGATTCAGCCCCATTCTACTCCTCGTCCAACTTCTACTAACCACGAAGGTGCTGCCACAAGCGCTGGTCATGTTAAGCCTGAAGGTGAACCTGACAACAGGCGGGGTGGCTGACTCATCCAAGATTCCTTTACACTCTGTAAATCACACACATTATCACATGCTGACAATCAGGCATGTTTGACTGTGTTCGCCCCAGTGATTGGTTCACAAGTTCGAAAGAAGAGAGGCGGGCATTGCCTTTCAAAGTGGACTCTCGTTGGCTGTTCCAGACTGTGACCGGGCTATAGAAGCTCCTATTGGGTCAAATGAGGTGTCAATCTAACCGGCGGAATGCAGCCTCCATTTTGCGATGAAAATCTCCGCTCTGTTGACATGAAAAGTGAAATTATCACCGAATTATGATCGCGAGTTATCATATCTGCTGGCTAATTTGAAATGATGCAACAGCCCCCCGTGGGTCTTTATGGACGTACTAATGTGTTTTGGACTAAATCTTTTACTGGATTCGATCGAGTGGACCCTTAGCCACCTAGCAAGACCGTTTTTGCTGGACTAGCATGCACAAGGGGCACATTATGGATCATAATCGGTGAGTCACGGTGATATTTTATCGGCTATTTTTGGAGTGCTTGTTTGACAGAGACGTTAACTGTACCTGCTGTTGTTATTGTATCTTGAAATGGTTTGCAGAAATCGAATTACAAGAACCGTAGCTTTCTAATGAGATATCACATTAATACTCATGTTACAGGGCAGTTGTGTGCATAACACAAATATGCAGTTATCACTCTGACGGCCCGCGGGCCGTTGAAGTGTGCCATTGAAGTCTCTGCTTGTTTCAGAAGTTGTGATGCACATGTCTGATGAGTAAAGTGGAAATACTTTTTAAACACTTGCACGTGTAGCAGAAGGGAGCTTTTATCCCTCTCCAGGTTGTGCCTCCACCAGTGGCCCGTGTTCCATGGACATGCCACTCTCTGAGGACGAGTCCTCATCCGATGGTGATTTGTTGATGCTGCAGCAGCAGGAATGTCCTCAAGCAACACCTATCGGGACATCTGCCAGACCGACTGCAGTGACACAAACCACCCTTGGGCTGCTACCCCCACCATTTGACCCAGCCTCCACTGTGCCAGGTCCCGTAGTGGTTCCCACTATTGTGAGGACAGATCAACCATCTGCCTCCTGGGCTGGCCCACCACCCAGTCACCATGAACGTGGTGATGTGGCAGCACGTCGGACCGCACAGTCAACTGCTGGTCACCATTCTAATGTGCACCATCTTCCCAGATCAGTAGAGAGAATCGCAGACAGGCCTGCAAATCCCCCTGGTCCGGTGTCCAATGCAATGTTTGCGGTGATCAGGCCCTGGAGTAGAATGTAGCAGAAGGGAGCTTTTATCACTCACTGGGCCTCGGTGTCATCCCTTTAATTACAAGGCCATCACTAGCCAATCACGGTGGGCCTGCATCATATAAATGTGAAGGGGATTCCCTTAGCTCCAGCCTGACATCAAACGCGTGTCCCGCTTCCGGTCTGCCGGACTTCCGCCGCTGTTGCAGACGATCTCTTGGGCTCCCCTCATCCTGCACAGGTGACTCACCTGCGGATCTGTGCCGCCACTGGTAGCAGCTCTACATGCCCTCCTCCCCCCTTCTGGAGCAGATGAATATTGCCTGATCGGGGACTTTTGGCTGGGTTCAAGCGGAATGTTGCTAGAAAGTGGCTACAGCGAACCCTGCTCACATTTAAAGAACGCTGCTGTTTTGCCGACCGGCGTTTGCTTACCAGTGTTTTACCAACCGGGTTTTGTCTACCCCACTGCGCTGCGTCGCCTACAGTGTCTTGACGCTGCTCTTAACAGCACTGCGCCCCGGCTTCATGCTGTTTTACATCAGCATCACCCTTATGTTAATAGAGAAAAACCTCTTTTTAGCGTGGGCCATTTTACTATGTGTATTCTGACCGGGATTGTTAAGGCCCACTCTGGCCTTTAGTTTATATAAATTGGGTAGCTGATCATCCCCCTGGCTGATCAGTTAACCCGAGTTGTTTTGTCTTTTCTTATTTTTTTCCTTTTTTTTCTATTTTCCTTTCTGAGAAGTGGAGCCTTGGTAATTGTGTCCCTTGTCCCTGTAGGAGCTGCTAAGCCAAGGTGGTGGGGTTGGTACCTCCGGGTGTTGGTGTCTCCCTTCGTGTGCTGTGTGGTTTGGTGTACCCCTGGTTCGGAACCCTCACATGTGGTTGTGTGTGAGTGATTTTTGTGTCCACGTGTGATCGGGGTGCCTCCTCTTTTAGGATCCTCACCTGTACTGGTCCACCTCGCCACTGGCAAACTGCAGCCCTGCACCTCTCTTTTAAATAAATATATAAGGCTCTTTTATTAGTAGTTTCTGTTTTAAAACGATCTGTGAACCACTGTTTTTGTAAAAAATAAAGATGAATTGTTTGTAGCGGAACCACGTCTCCTGCTCATCAGTACAATGAACCTGAGTGTCCTCTGAATCCTTGATACTGTGGGCAAAACTTAATGTTTAGGTGAAATTCCTAAGGTGGCACTGTGCTCTGAATATTGGTGAATATAAACTTTAAACCACACCCCCTCTTCTCGCCACACACGCAATTTATGCATTGCCTTATTTATATGATGGCTGAAGATAAGGAGGTAATTAATGCTGAAAAAATGGAATCTAAGAGAATGAGAAAGTTAACTGAGAGAGCATTGGATGAGAAGCTACAGAGGCTCATTGGAACCAGGAGAGGAGTATTAGCTCGGATAACTGGAAAAAGAAAAGAAATTAAAGGTTTGATGACTGATGCTGGCAATCTGCAAAAAGTGCAAAAGTTAAAACCTCTTGTACCCTAAAGCCCCCTTTAAAGGGGGCTAGAGGGGGGGGGCGAC